CTACAAAGGTATTGTTGCATTTTTTTTGCAACAACTGTTTTGTTGCATTTTTTTCCAACTAAGGTCTTGTTGCAGAAAATTTTCGTAACAGAGGTTTTATTGTAAAAATATAAACTCATCATAGACCATTGCAACACCGCATATGTCTCAGAAGTACAGCCCCTGTTGCATAAAGTATGGTATATATGCCCTCACTTGACGCGTGTCATCCAGGGAAGGTGATGGACGCAGCCGCTGCGATCCACCGGTTGATGTTAAGCGTTTCCTATAGTATTATTATTAAATATATTATTAGCTGCTGAGAAAACGTATGGTATCATTTTATTTTTTTTACTTATTGTTTCGATATAATGTTTTCCTGTCATAATCATACTAAAACAAAATGGAATACTATGATCATGCACGCATGCACATGGTAGACACATGGATGATATTATTTGAAAATATTTTCCTACTATATAATTAACTCAGTTAAAGAATAAGTATTTGTTAAATATTTGATTTTTTTGCCTTTCTACAAGATACATATTGTCATTTCCATGAATTCAGAGACACGCGAGAACACAATGTACATCCCCCAAAAATTCGAACTTCTGTGATAAAAGTATATTTTTGCGAGCGCGTTGCATGTATGGTGACGTTTTAATAAAACAAGATGTTTTTTTGAAAGGTACTCTTTTGTGTTCCCATTTTGGAACAAAGGAAACAAACTTAGGGATTCTGATGGATATAATTTCTATAGAAAAAAAATCCCCTCTGATATGTTTGAATGAAATGGCTATCCTTGCTTCAAATAATTTTCATACATATGGAGTAAATCAAACATGAGGTCCCATTTGACATTCTGTCCTCACCTACAATCTATGTGTTTTTCTTATGTGTGAAAGAACATTTTTTTAGTTTTCATATGGGTTTGCTTCGTACAAATATTTATAGATATTTAAGATACATGAAATTGAAATATATGTTCATGTTATATTTCTACTGTTTTGAGTTTGTGCATTTCGAATATGGCCTACTTTTATTTTTCAACGATATATTCTTCTTTGAGTTGAACAACTTGAATGACGATGATACATATCCTAATCATTCTCAACCTTACAAGAAGCCAATAATAGATGCTATAGTACAGTGTATCTTCTTGGTCTTTGTCCCAAAAAGTTCCTATTTCTTTAGGAACCTTTTCCTTAGACTAGTCAGAACTTCTTGCAATAACGAAAAATCTTTAGTCAGAATTTCGTCCAACCCTACCTCCTCTGATATCTAGCCTCCACCAGCCTTCCATGACATTATGCCTAGAAAACGACCGAAATGATTGCATATTAGTAACATAATTAGTCAATATGGATCACATGTGGGAGTTAACACTACTGCAGGAATGCCTAAGCAGTGGCGGGTGGGAAAAGGCCAGCAGTGGCGGGCAAGGCGCCCAGGGCCGCTCTCCACTGACCTCTCGTCACTGCTAGAACACCATCAGTGGCGGGCGCCTGCCCGCCAGTGGTAACCCGTGAGCAGTGGTGGGCACTAGGTCATGCCCGCCACTGCTGTTTGTGTTTCCCGCCATACGATTTTCGCGCAGCTGTGGCGGTCTTATTCAACCTCTCGCCACAGCTATTGTTGCATGCCGACATTCTTGAATTACAACATATTGCACTTGGATCCTATCATCAGATTGCATTTGATACATAAATTCTGGTTTGAACCTTGATCCACATGCACGCACCATATTACAATAATTTCAAATTAATGAAAAGTAGTACCTATAAAATATAACAAGTGTATTATAATAATTAATGTTTTGATGAGTTTTTTTAAGTGAAATGAGTGTTGGCCGATGTTCAACACGCAGAGCGTTAGTAGAAGCTGCACATACTACATGAAATAGTACTTGATGGAACGAACGAGGACCAACGGACCGCTTGCTCCGAAATTGGAGATTTGGCCTCTCGAAGAGCCCATTGCACAACCTCAGGCCCTCAGCGGGCATGGGTATGGTGGTTGGACTCATACTCAGCCAGATCCTCAGCCTCTTATCCGGGGTCGCCTCCGCAAGAATGCACACTGTGAGGTCAGTGAACCGCCTCACTGCAACCTTCCCAATCGCTAGGAGAGAACAATGGGTCATTGGAACACTTTCGACCCAAGCTAACATCGCCTCCTTGAGGTGCACTGCCCGATACTTTTCCCGTGTCCATAGATAGTGCTTCTCCATGTCCGCCGCAGAGACCCTTCCCACAAATCTTCTGGCGGTCCCATCTGCTATTTTTAGTAGACAATAACATTCAAAATATATACATATAGAAAAGATCACAAGGTTAATATATAAACATATGAAACTCATACATATAAAGTAGAGATCACAAGGTAAGAAACATGGTGTCATGACATAGTTTAATGTTTTTGATGGGTTACTAGACTAGAAAGGACCACCCATATTGCCATCTTGATGTTTCATTCTCATGTCTCATTCTGGTTGACTCTCTGCCCCGCAGTAGAACATCCCCTCATCCCTCACTACATGGCGATTGATGCTATTCGTGTGCACTCTCTAAAGGCGCTCATGTTCTGTCCAAAAGTGAGCTAGCTTAACTTCCTTCTCATTCTCTTCAGACCATTTCTGCAACATTGAATCACTTCTTAACAGTGGTCCTGCGTGCACATAGTCATCCATCAAGACCATGGCATAGTAGCCAGACATGTGCCTGGATTCGCCTTTTGGTTGTTGCCAGCAACAAAAGCTACTGTTAAATTTGTACTGGAAATGCGGCAATGTTCTTACGATCGGACTTATGACACATAAGAAGAGCAGCATTGAGAACTTTCTTCAGACCGGTCCACGGCTACTTAAGGTCTCTCCTGGAATCAAAGAAATAAGCTCGGCCATCTCGGGGCATGAGTGCGATGACGATGCAGTGTTCATTGTTGTGCAAGACAATTGAACAATGTATCATTAATGAGATTGACATCAAAGTACCCAGGTGTATATGTGAAAGCAAAAAGAAATGAACTTACGTTTCGAAGTAAGGCACGATAAAGTTGTGCTTGTGCCGAGGAATCTTAAGATTGGTATTGTGGAGGTAATTCATCATGAGACATTGACCTTTATCAGAATCCACGTTGGTCCAATGCATGAGATACGGATCAAGGAAGCTAACTTCATCATTCCGAAGTAATGGATTTGTAACATGCCAGGGCGACCAAAGCCTCATTAAAGACAGCTTGATTACGTCCACATAGAAAATATTGTCGCTGAACACACTCTCAAATCCAAGATATATTTTATCTGCAGGGTACTTTGACAAATCCAAGGCCCTCTATAACATTGGCAGTGTAATATGTCTCACCCTTTGCTGACCTAGCTACTACGTCTTTGTGTAGAAGCTGAATTTCAACGCTTAGTGCACTCAACTTGTGTTTTGGTAACATCGGTTCACCAGGCTTAAACATTTGCGTGAACCACCGACTGGTAGAAACATTCACCACATCTTCTCCTGGTGCCTTACTGGCGGTCGGTTCATTGGTTGATTTCTTCTTTCGCTCTCTGCCCTTTTTACGACGCTGAGCTAAGGGGTCCATAGAAGATGGTTCTCCGGAATGAATTTGTTGGGTTTGCTAAAATTTAGTATGCAACTATGAGTCATGATGCATAAAAAAACTAAAGAAAAATTTGACATGACCTTTGATAAAATGATGACATAACGAGTGCCAGAAGTTCAACGAAACGGAAATGAATTGACGTTTCGCCAAAACATTGGCACTCATGTTAATATATGCAAATAACACTAAGAAACATTGGCATATATTTCTAAACTACTAGCTAATATATATTTACCCTAAACACATATCTGACCATCATACAAAATAACACTAAGAAACATTGGCATGTAGTTCTAAACTACTAATATTTACACTACACAAAAATCTGACAATGCATACCGAAGAGGTGGGACGCTTAGGGTTAGAATGCAGCCCGAGGTCTTCGATGTTGGCGGGAGAGGGGGACATGGCCACACAGCTAGCCATCGGGATGGAGCTCGGCGGTGGCGGTGGCGGCGACGATGAGATGCCTCCTCCGGTGTTGGAGGAGGAGGCCATGCGCGCCCGCAGCAGCTCAATGAGGGGCGCGGCGGCGGCAGTGAGATGCAACGAGGGGCACGGTGGCGAGGGGTGATAACGACGAGGGGCACATCGGCGAGGGGCGACGAGGGGCGCGCGGTGACTCGGGCAAGGTTTGAGAGGGAAGAAACGACGCAGGGAGAAATGACTTGGGGATATTGGGGGGAACGGGTTTTGTGTCAAAATTGAACCGCCAGCGTAGTGGAACTATGAGTGGCGGGCGTAGAATAAGGCCTGCCACACGTATGGCGACAAGCAGTGGTGGTCAGTAAGAGACCGCCACTGCTAAGATAACCTCCCGGGAACTTCCACCCACAAGTTGCAGCGACTTAGCTGTGGTGGGGAGGTAGAAATGCCCGCCACAACTGACAGAGGAAGCAGCGGCGGCTGCCTGCCGCTTTAGTGTTTAATAACCAGAGGAGATTCGAAATGGTTCACCTATGGCGATCGATAATACCCGCCCGCCACTGCTCACCATTTAGCTGTGGCGGGCATGTTTTGCTACCCGCCACTGTTTGCTCTCAAAAATAGCTGTGGCGGGTGCCCCACCCTGCCCCCACTGATTTGGGTTCACCTGTAAACCCTTATCCAGTAGTGTAATCTTGCTCGTTTAGTGTATTACATAGCTGGTGAGGTTTATATCAAGCTAGACATCCTAATTGCCTCAATTCTTCTTGCCTGTGAAGATCTCTAGCACCATGACACCGAAGCTGTAGATAGCAGAACAATACAAGGTTTGAGCCCTCCTAGTGATTCACTTTAGTAACATATCTATGTTGTAGGATTTGCTATCCTCTTGTTGTATTATGACAACTACTTGCTGCTTCGAGACCACCAACTGCTTCACTGTCAAAATCAATGCTCTCTATGCGAAGAATTGTCCTCTATCGCCCCAATGATCCCCCATGACCTGAGTCATCTTTGAGGCACTGACCTTCAAAATAAAGTTCGCTCCATGAATATCATTGCCATTCTCTAGAATATATGGAAGAGAAGAATTGCAGAAGTATTCAGGGACGACACTCAACTGATCCACCTAATCGCTTGTTCTGCTGCTGATGGCATCATGCTTTGGTCAAACAGATGCACTAATGGTCAGGCATCGAATCTGGAGTACCATGTTGTTTCACTTCTCTATGAGATTGTAATCTAAATTTTCTGTATTTCACTTTCTTACCGTACCCCCAATCCGTTTCGTTGTAAATGTACTCTGGTTTATTAATGCAACGGTTCAGGCCGGCGTAAGCCCACCATATCACCATAAAGAAAATATATGACAACTACTACTTTTGAGTCTCTTTCTTTTTCTCATCAAGTTTTACAAAAACGACATTAATATGTAGCACGATGTATGTATATCTCTATAGAAACAACCTAACAACAACTATGTGATTGGAAATTCACAATTAGATTTGTATGCTTCACACACAAAGCATGCCCTCTTCCGCTCCATCTCAACTAGTCTACCCAAACTACCGAGTATCCGTCACAGTTACGGTCAACTCACTTTGAGTTTGGGACAATTCTCCGTCTGACGTGCTCCTTCCGATGTTTCCTCCAGGCTCATTTGGCTCTGGCAGCATGGCATTCTCGGCGGCCAACATCATGACAACTGAAGACATGAGTGGCCTATTCCTAGGATGCATGTCAACACACAAGAGGGCAACTTGTATGCATCTCCGCACCTGGCTGTGATCACAGCTACTGTCCATCATCATCTCATCAAGTAGTTCAGTGCTTCTGCCTTCCTTCCACAACGTCCACGCCTGGGAAACGATCAACATGATTGCATATTAGTAACACAGTTAATCGAATATGAATCACATGTGAGAATTAATCATGCTCATGCAGTGCATTACATAACCGAGGAGGTTTAGATCAAGCTCGACATCGTAAAAGCCTCGATTCTTCTTGCCAGTGACGATCTCTAGCACCATGACACCAAAGCTGTAGATATCAGATTTCATGGAGAACACACCATCCATGGCATACTCTGGTGACATGTAGCCGCTGGTGCACCGCCATCTCACAAGTCAGCATATATCCTTGGTAACACATCCAACTTAAAAAATTGTGCTATAAACGATGAGTTGGGATATAGGTTCTCACGTACTATGTCCCGATGACTTTCAAGGTGTATGCGGTTGTCTGGTCACCACCGAACATCCTGGCGATGCCGAAGTCCGAGATTTAGGGGATCATGTTTTTGTCCAACAGCACGTTGCTTGCCTTCATATCCCTGTGGATGATCCGGAGCCTTGAATCCTCGTGGAGATAGAGCAGCCCCCGTGCGATTCCTGCGATGATCTCGAAGCGTGTTTTCCATCTTAGTAACTTGCGCTTTTCTTCATCTGCATGACCAAAATTCGTACATTGTCATTGATTCAACTAAGGGTTCATGGTTCAAATTAAGTTCTTTCTTTAAGATAAACTTCTTTTCAACAGAAGAACATATTTATTAACTCAAAATGTAGCATCAGAGTGGAATGAGCAGACCACCGTATGTAACATGAACTGACCACCAAATATGAAGGTGTCGAGGCTGTTGTTGTGCATGAACTCGTAGACGAGCATCCTCTCGTCGCCGTCGGTGCAGCAGCCGAGCAGCCTCACCAGGTTCCTGTGCTGGAGCTTGGCTATGAGCTTCACCTCGTTCTTGAATTCCTCCACCCCCTGTGCTGATTTCCTTGACAGCCTCTTCACAGCCACTTCCTGCCCATCCTCAAGCCTTCCCTGCTCATTTTTATGCGTGTAAGCACATCGTCTTGATACAAGTTGTGATCGATCTATAACGTTACTTGATCTTAATTACGAGTACCAGATAGACAGGGCCAAATCCACCTTGTCCAATCTTACTGTCGGCGGCGAAGTTGTCCGTGGCGGCCAGAATCACTGCTAGATCGAACAGCCGGAGGTCAAGATCATCTTCTTCGCCGCTCATCTTGTTCTCGTTGGAGAACCGCTGATCGTCCCGTGGGCGTTTAAGTTTTATGGCCTGCAATGGAAGCTCGTTGTCCCGACTGCCGGCCGGCGCCGCCCTGTTTCTCCAGAAACAGAGACAGCCAAAGGCAAAGGCACCCAGAAGAAGCACGCCGGAGATACTCGCCATGACGGCGATCACAACCACGACATGACTCCGGCGGTTAGCTGAAGAAATCGACATGGTTCTCGAATTTGAAATGGGAAATTTTGCAAAAATTCAGTCGAGGAAGAGTTGCAGTGCTACTAACCTGCAGCGGTCAAGGCATCAACCTCGGACTGCGCGAGTCGGATGTACACGTCCTGCACGACCTCCGAGTACTGCCGCATGTCGATCAGATCCACGGCCCAAATGACGCACCCGCGGTTGATGCCCCCGCTGATGTCCGCCGCCGCGTACGCCCTGCAGCTGCAGTTGCCGAGGCAAAGCTGCCTGCACCGGTCCAGCGTCAGGCCGGCGTGCACCGTCGCGCTGGTCGCCTCCGGTAGCTTCATACGGCTCACTGTCCAGAACCCGTCTCCAGCCCCGCAGCTCAGGTTGGTCGTCCTGACACAGCCGTCGGAGCCGTCCCCGACGCTCCACCGCTGCGGCGACCGCGGCCGGAACCCCGGCAGGCAGCTGCACAGCGGGGACTGGCCGACGTCGCAGTACCCGAACGCCCCGCACCTGGCGTAGCTGTCGCACGGGTCGAGCGGGAAGTGCCAGAAGCTGCTCCAGCCGCCGCCGAGGTGCCACGAGAAGCGCTGCACCTGCCCCGTCGTGCCGTTCAGCACGAAGCGCGACAGCACCGACGGGTCGCTGACGTAGTAGGTGTAGTAGGTCTCGTCGGGGTTGGATATGACCTGGACGATGAAGTCCCTGGACTTGAGGTTGGGCACGCCGGTGAGCTCCGCGCCGTTCCACGGCCCGCTGGCGTACGTCTTGGACATGCCCCGGAAGAGGAAGAACTCTGGCAGCCCACCGCTGACGAGCTTGAACGTGTAGGCCCCCGGCGAGGGGTCGGCCGCGCTGCGCCACGACGTGATGTTCCTGGAGATGCCGCTCGTGCCGTCCACCCCGAGCTTCATGCCGGGGAGCAGCGTGTCCGTCGGGTAGTCGAAGCTCTCCCACGCCACGCTGGTCCGAGCCGTCGATCCACTTTGACTCTCCCCGCCGTGGCTCACGACCAGGTCGCCGTTGTCGAGCAGCTGCGCGGTGGCGCGGGTGGCTACGCCGCCCGAGCCGGCCGCGTCGTCGGATGACCACACGGTGGCGTTACGGCCGTCGAGGATCACAAGCCGGCCGTCGGCGGAGAGAGTGAGGACGCCGGGAGGTCTGACGACCGGGTTCAGGCGATTGGCGACCCACACGACCGTCTGCTCCGGGATGGTGGCGTACCAGATGCCGAGGTAGGCCCTGCCGTCGGAGCTGCCGGGCGGGACGAAGAAGCCGAGCCTGAACACCCCGCCGGCCGACTCGAGCGTCTGGTTGCCGGCGATGGACGCGGTCTGGTCGAGCTTGTCTGTGGCGATCGAGGGGGACGGGGACAGGAAGGCGGCGGCGACCAGGAGAGGAAGGAGGGAGAGCGGCGGCGCCCTCATCCCCACTTCCCGGCCTCTGGATGGAATGTGGCTGCTCTCTCGGCCTCACGACATGGCTGGATGTGTGACTGTGTGAGTGTGACTGGATGCCGACCTGTATGGGCGCGTGGTGGTTATCGCGGGAGAAATGGCTGCTACGCGCCCGTGATCTATGTCGACCGACCGGCGACCGCACATGTTCGATGTTAGGTATATGGCGGCATCGGCGACGGCATAGCAGACTGTGCGCCGAGTGGCCATCGCGGTGCAGGAGCAGCAGAGAGCGAGACGACGTGGGCAGTGGGCTTGACTAGTAGTAGGAATTTGGTTGGATTCGAGTAGATTAGTACCCCTATCACGAAAACACTGACATGGTTCCACGCGTACCCTCGTGAACCATGAATTTAAGATTAAGAAAATATCTGAAATTTTGAAATATCAAACTTGGTTGACAATTCTATTCATATGAAGTTTGGTAAAGAAATGACACTCTGGTATCCTTAGTGAAGAAATACAATTGGGACCTTAATATTCATCAAGCAATATTTTTTGATATGGCGTCGATTTTGTCATTTTTGCCAAGAATATCATGGATGTCATTTCTTCATAAAAGTTCATACACAGTATATGAGTTGATTATGTATGCTAAAAAAATCCAATTTTGTTTTTGTTTTTTCTAGTACTTCTTTTTGAATTTATACTATTCATAAGGGGTACATGTGAAACCTTGTTCACCAAATTCCTATCCTAATAGCATTACATTATTGTCTATGCTCCCTTTCATCCCTGTTGTCTCTTGTCTTTGCCTGTGGTAGGCTCGGAACCACCAAACCTGACATGGTAGCTTTTCTAAATAACGTTAAACTAGCACCGTGGCCCCACAAATGTGTGTACAAAATGGTAGTACTAATTATTTAGGCTAGTTGCGAGTCAATATGTGCTTGGATGATTAGGAGGACAGTGGTATTTCAACCCATCAGAGTCCAAGTTCAACTATCAAATATGGGAGGAGAATGTGTTGATGGCAGAGGGTGCACGATTGAGCTGAATTTTTAGGATGTGATCTCGACAAACAAATCTTATATGTTGACCACGGTGTCACCCTCAACTTCCCGCTCAATAGTAGCTAGAGAGACCACCACAGAACCTGAAATTCACACCATTGAAGTTCTCCACGTAGCCCACACTCCCATCATAGTTGGCAATCGAAGCAAGAGCCACGAAGGATACAAGATTGATCAGGAGTCATCGGAGGAGTTGAAACAACATAAGGATATACATGACAACGCTAGAAGAAACACCTGCTCCTCAACTATACTTTTACTCGCTTTGTTAGAACACATTGAGTGTACAATGTGGTTTGACAACTAACAAAGACGGACACCTGGTCCAGCAGGTGCTTTTCTATTCTTCGTAACAAGTCTTATTCCTACCTGAGATGAATCAGCAGTACCTTGATTACTTCGTCATTATTTTTTTCCCAAATGATAAGTGCTACACGTCAAATGTGTGGCACTCCGACAAAACTAAAGTTGTCATGTTTGGAAATTAAAGTTGCCATCCCTACCGTCGAACGCTTTTTTTACCTTTTGTTCCTCTTGTTCACACTCAAGAACCTTTCATGCTATCAATGTTAGAAATACAAATGCTACAAATACCTATACTATTTCTATACCTGAATTTAGATAAAAACAAGACCAATATTAGGCTCATTTTCTAAGCGCAAAATGGCACATTTCTTACCACAATTGAACAAAATTTGTGTGCAGAATTCAACTTTCAAAATATGCAAAATACTAAATTGCACAACAAAAAATTGCATGCAATTTCATGCGTCGTAATGTGCAGGCCACCCAATTTCACATTCTAAGCCTAGAATTGCAAAACTGGAAATGCGCAAACTTGGGTTGTAGACAGTGCATTTCCCGAGATTGCACATTTTCAATCTCCATGAGCAACTGCCTAACTAAAAAACCAACATAAACACTAAAGTAAAACCAGCGGGACCTGGACACGCTCGACGTCGGGATCGCTCCTTTTATCCGTTGCAAGATGCTCTTTTCCTTTTCTTTGGGGCTTGTTGTGTTGTACCCCTGAGCAGACTTTCTATATCAGATCTGTACTCTGACTTGTGCCTGCCAACTACGTAGACGATCAATTCACGTTTGAAAGTATTTGAAATAAAATAAAATCTGGAGTCTCTCTCTCTCTCTCTCTCTCTCTGAATGAATGTGCTTGCCGAGAAACCTGTGAAAATTCAGGATATTTCTGTTATTCAGTAATAGCCAGTGGGCGTTACAAAGAGAGCAGAAAACATCTCTCAAACCGATCCGATACTACTCCGGCGATTCTCTTGCTTGCTGGCGCGCTGAATTTACTGTAGTCCAGCAGAGAAAGCGGAGCATCAACGAGATGGCGAAAACGCGACGGACGCCGCCATGCTTGCCTGGACTGGGGGTACACCCGGCGCCGTGCGGGTGGGCAACCTGCCCCGTCCCCCAGGGTGCTCACGCCTTCTTCACCCATCCCGTGCCGCCAGCATCACGCACCAGACCGCGTGGCCTGCACCTATATGTACTTCCCAGCTCGCCGGCAGATACAAGCGCCGCACGCCGATCGAAAATTCAGACACACACTCGCAAGAAGGCGCCCACCGGCGCGAAAGGCGGCCCGGGAGGTGGTGGAGGCGGCGCCGACATGGGCCGGATCCCATGCTGCGAGAAGGAGAAGGTGAAGCGCGGGGAGTGGACGGACGAGGAGGAGGACAAGCTGCTCTCCTACATCATGCAGTACGGCGCGCGCAACTGGCGCCTCATCCCCAAGAACGCCGGTGAGTCCGTCCGCGGAGCGCTGAAGTGAATGTCCTTGCCGCTGAACCGACGTGGATTTTTAGAGCATTTGCACCTAGGCCCTGCTATCCTATCTCTCTAATATCGTTTTAAGATCCGTGTGACACAACTAACTTTTTATATGAAATTTTTTCTTTTTTGTTTCTCCCACATAGAGCATATCTTGAAGTCCAAACCTATGCAGCATGCCAAAGCTTTCTAACTAGAATCTAGGATAAATCTTTCAGAATTTTTGTCTGACATAAATACTAAAAATATGATTTTTTAATCAAACAATACGTATTTTATATATTTATATTTGATAAAAAAATCTGAAAGATTTATCCTAGATTCTACCTAGAAAGCTTTGCCACGCTGCATAGGTTTGAACTTCAAGATATGTTCTATGTGGGAGAAACAAAAAAGAGAAATGTATTTTCACGAATCTTAAAGCAGGAAATGGATGACTAGATGAAGAAGGCCTGGATGCATATGCTCTAATATATATGTCAGTCAGTGTCACCGCGTGATATCTATTTCAATGCCATCTACTATCTGAGTGTGTGAACAATATAGGTTCCTGGTTGTATACTATATTTTCTTGTGTGGAATTTTCAGGAGTAATTTTGGTTAGTGGTGGAAAGATAGTGCTGTGGTCAAAGTCAAGGCGAAAGCGAAAGCCAACGCTGGTGGCACAGGCTAGTGATGGGTATAATCGTTCTGAGATAAGGCGTGTTAGTGGCTACACTGTAGCCAGTCTTGATAGAAATGGGTTCAGCAAACGCAAGCAACAACTTATCAAGTTAGCTACATTTCAGTCAGCTGACTTTTTAGTTTTGGTTCAGTCGAATTACTAGTCATTGGATTTTGCTTTGAGATTTGTGCCTTGTTTTTCTTTTTCCTATGTTAGCTGGTCCAGCTGGGCTGCGTCGAAATCGACTGACGCTTTGTTGTGGTTCAGTCGATTCTGTGTTCGGGCTCGTTCTGCTTTCAGGTGCCCGTTTTCTGATGGTTCGGCTCCCGTTAACAGGCTGCCAGCCCAGCCCGTTGCAGTGGATACCGAGCGTCGGCCGTTCTCGTCTCTTATCTCCTCGCTTCTAGTATCCTGTCAGTCACTTTCCCCTCTCAGTTTCAGTCTCTCTTCTCCTCCATGTGTCGTCGCCTCTTCCTATGCAGAGCTAGGGTTCGTCGAGTTCGTCCTCTCCTCTTCCTATCTAGTTCTGCTTTAGTTTCTAAAGAGACTAAGATCTTGCTGTTAAAATTTGCAGGATTTGCATCTCGACGTTTTTCTTGGTTTAGGAGATCTCCTTTGCTGCTTCTGCTCTTTTCCAGGTATATTTTTTTGTCTTGAATCTTCTTTCTGTGTAGTTTTTGGTCAGGGTTTCTTGTTTAGAATGCTATCTTGTGTAGCATGCTTTCTCTATTGATTCTGTTTTCTTCAGATTTGTTCCAATGTCTGCCAGGTTAGGGTTTTTTTGTTGTTGGGGTAGTACAAGTAGATCTTTATGGTTCTTGTCTATCATGTTTCAGTTAAGGTATCTGTTTTCTTCAGATTTGATCTAATTTTTGCCTGATTAGGGTTTCTACAGATATGTGTTTATGGTTCTTTGTTTATCATGCTTAGATTAGGATTTTCGTTGTGTTTATATTTTGCTCTGACTGTTGGCATGTTAAGTTTACTTTTGAGATTTGATCTGATTTTTATTTAGTAAGGTTTTTTTCGTTAATCTTAGATATGTATGTCTTGAAAGGTCAAATCCTTTTTGTTTATATTGTTAATCTAATGCTATTCATAGGTCGTGTCACTATTCGCCGTATTTGATTTCGTGAGTTTTTGTATGCAGTGTGTGTATGCTCTATGTTATGTCAAATCCTTAAAGTTTTTTAACTATCTTTTTGTGCTTATATTTTTTATTATGCTGATGTTTTTATTTTTAGTTCCTGTATTTGTAATATTTCTGTACATAGCTTTTTTAGTATACTGGTGCTTGTAGTTTTTGGTCCCTGCACTTATAATATGCTTGTTCCTAGCTGGTATAGCATGGCTGTATTTGTATTTGTATTTTTGTAAAGCAATTTGCTTGTATTGGATTTTTGCAAATTTTAAAGGGCGCATGTGCAGTTTAGGTAGATTTAAACTGTCCTGATAACCTCTAAACAAAAGAAATAACATAATCTTTCAAAAATGAATAAATGCCTGTGATCTTTTTCCTTCTGATACTCTGTGTGCATATTTTAATCTAAGTAGAATACAGTTAAGTGATTTGCCTAATCTTGCATGATTACTCTTTGCTTTTGAGCAACTTACGCAAATTTAGGTCCATGATCATGCAATATCTTCAGTTTATATTCATGAATTTGGTTCGTTGTATTACTTACATCTTCACTTCTTTGAAGATATCTACCTAGAGTTGGAATTCAGTTTTTGAGTTTTCTTTTTTTATGTCCAATATGCTTTAATTAGAATGTATTTTTTTGTGTTCTATAGTTCATCTAGGTTCTCCGGGTTTTTTATCCCCTGTTGGGTAATTAGATAATTTTTCCTTTTTATTTAAGTTTTATTTTTTATTTTCTGTATGTATGGTTTGCCCGTGCGCCGTGCCTGCCGTTCGAGCCACCCGGAGGATTTCCTCAAGTGTTTGATGTTGTCCTTGACGAGGATTGCTTCATGCGGATGGTGAGTTGTATCAATCATTTCTTTATAGCTATATTTTCTTTGTAGACATCAATATATCCGTATATGTTTACTTAGTTTCTGCATTTCTTTTGTATAATCATGGCTAATACGGAACTCGTTGAATTAAGGGTTCGTTCCCCATTCTTTGACTAGGTTGTCTTTGTTTGTAGTTATATTAATCATTTATTTTATAGATTGTGTTAAGGGCAATTTTCTTGTATTGGATTTGTGCAATTTGTAAAAAGGATTTTTATAGGATGTATTAAGGATTTATGCTGTGTTTACATTAGAAGTTTTCTTTGTCAGAAAATAAAAAACATACTTTCTTTAGTTTACTTGTGTACAAGTTTTATCTGTATAAATTAGAGCTACCCATGTTTCCCTTTTGAAATACACTGATGTAAACACAACATTATGAAGTTTTAGTTCTGGTAGTTTTTGGTGAATTAACTTGTTTTAATCAGCTTGAAACTGTACTAGTTTTTCCATAGTTCATCCTATGATTTCTTCTTTTTTGATTAACTACCTTTATGAATGTGTATTTGTAAAAAATATGTATGTGTAAGTTTTATCTGTATATTAATGTTTTTTTTTCTAACCATGATGTTTTGGCTAGTATATCTAGTATGTCTAGAAATTTTTAAAGATAGCAGTACCATTTGTTATTTTTTGCAGTTATTCTTTGTGTGCAAGTTTCATGTAAGACTACTATAATATAATTTTTTTTATTACACTAGCTTGATATTGTTCTTAAATTTTCATAGTCTACCTATATGTTTTTTATATGTTAATTATGTTTTTGAATTGATAACTACAACATCTATTTTGTTAACTTATTATAAGAGCCTAAGTATGCATGTAGTGTACATTTATATCTCCCCAATGTTTTTGCTGCTACAAGTTTAGTTCTTCCTACTTGCAAATTTTACGGAGGTGTTGTGCCTTAGCCGTTTTCAATCAGTTTGTAATTGAACTAGGGGGGTAGATGCTACGTTTAACTTTTCTAATTATGTAGACATGCTATTTGTACTATTTTTTCATATGTTGCTCTTAACCAACAATTGCAAGTTTAGATTTACGTATATGCAAGTTTAGTTCGTATGAAGAAATTTTTTAATCTCTGATTTTAGGGTGGTTTTCTGCTCTACTTGTAGTTCGACAACTTGTATTACAAACAGGCGCAATTTTACTTCTTATGATTAAATTTTCAATTTCTGCCTTTAGGTGGGTGTTCTGCCTTTCTTGTAGTTCAACATTTTTTTTTGTACAAGTACAAACATGTTATTTTTTAGTGTAGTATGAATTTGTATTGTTCAATTCTCTGAATTTCTGACAGCAAATGTACATTCAAGTGGTCTCACTATTTTTTTCTATTTCTGGTTACATCATTTTTTGCTGGGCACTAAAGAGATAGAATATAACTTTTCTAATTATGTGTTGTTGTTGAACAACTACTACAAGTTTAGTTCTCCCTACTTGTAAAATTTACCGAGGTGTTCTGCCTTAGCTGTTTTCAAACATTTTGTAATTGAACTAGGGGGGTAGATGTTACGATTAACTTTTCTAATATTGTAGACATGCTATTTGCACTATTTTTTTATATGTTGCTCTTGACCAACAGTTGCAAGTTCAGATTTATGTATATGCAAGTTTAGTTCATATGAAGAAATGTTTTAAATTTTGATTTTAGGGTGGTGTTCTGCTCTACTTATTCAACAACCTGTATTACAAACAGGCGCAATTTTACTTCTTATGATTAAACTTTCAATTTCTGCCTTTAGGTGGGTGTTCTGCCTTTCTTGTAGTTCAACATCTTTTAGTACAAGTACAAACATGTTATTTTTTAGTCATAAGTTATAGTATGAATTTGTATTGTTCAATTGTCTGAATTTCTAACAGCAAATGTGTATTCTGGTGTTGTCACTATATTTTTCTAGTTCCAGTTACATCTTTTTTGCTGGGCAGTAAAGAGACAGAATATAACTTTTCTAATTATTTGTTGTTGTTGAACAACTACTACAAGTTTAGTTCTCTCTACAAGAACTTTGGGCAATCGGAGGAGAAGGACGTAGCATGGAAGAAATGGAGAGGATGGAGATCTATCGAGACACCAGAGGGCGGCAGTATCTGAGTTTTGTTCATGCGTCCATGGTGGCGCCGCTGGTGATGGGGGAAGGAGGGACAAGGAAGAAGACCTAGTTATATGTCCGTGAGCTGGATCCAGATCTCTGAAGGTAGTGGGTTTGGTTTCTTAGCAGGGTCAGGCCCGTTTAATTTTGGGTTGTATAGATGGCAAAACATCAAAAGGGGTTTCAGCGCTGGATCAGTGATGTTTTTTTTCTTTTGGGCTGATTCGACTGACGCTTAGTTCGGGTCAGTCAATTTTGTTTTGCTTTCCATCATTCTGCTCTTCTTTAGGAATCGACTGACACAATTGTAGAGTCAGTCGATTGACTTGTAGCCGCTCCCACAACTTATTATGTATCTACACCCGTTGCTACTGTAGAAACAAATTTCAGATTCTTATTTTTAGCAAGCCGCATCGGAATTTGATCAAGTTGCACGTAATTGCAACTCTCTGGGTAGTTTAACACAGTTTTTGTTTCCATGGGCAGTCTTACAGTTTTAAAATATACTTTTACTAGTTCCCAAGTCATGATACGTTTGGCCTGTTGCGTTCCTTTGAGATGTTATATTTGAAAGTATATCGGTGCAAGTGAGAGAAACTAAGGAAATGGATGAACAAATTGTAAGTGCTACTTGGTGCACGTTTCTCTTATATCTAATGTTGCAAGCTCGTGAGCTAATTCATCCTAGAAAACTACAAACTGTGTGTGTGTGTGTGTGTGTGTCTCGCTGTGTGCATCTTAATCATGCAGAAGCTTGGTGTGTGCTCATTGGTTCTGTATCGATCAACGCGACAACTTAAATGAATAAAGCTCCATTATACTATAGAATAAAATGTCCTGCCTCATTTGCTGTGAGTCCATAACGCACTCCACTTTGTTACTAGTGAAACGAACGTCGATACAAAATTCATATAAGGCTACCTGTAATGGGAGCATCATAGCTAGTACTCCCTCTATAAGGAAATATAAGAGCATTTAGATCACTATTAAACACACTTATATTTCTTTACAGAGGGGGTATCATGCATGCTAACAAGATAATTTTGATAAAGTGTCATAGAATTAAATAAAGAAAGAAAGGGATTGAGTATCATAATAAATATTTTAGTACTACAGGTTTTTCATGGCAACAAATAAGATCATGTAAGAATTGATCTATAATACTATGCATTACGAAGGTAGTATCATATGCATGATAATAACTTAATTATGATAGTACCCACTACATGCAGTAATTTGAAAAGCAAACTTTTTTAGCAATTATATTTATCTTCATAATTTATTTCATCTTTTATTAATTATTATACGCAACACTACAGCCAATCAATCAACATTCCATGATACTAACTTAATTATGATACTACCCACTATGGGCCGTAATTCGAAAAGCAAACTTTTTTCGCAATTATATTTATCTTCATCTTTTATCAATTACCAATCAATCAACATTTGTTCTCAACACTAGTAGTATTTTCTAATATAAAAGAGAAACAGTAATATCTCTTTCCACGTTGCCTAGCTACAACTAGTATATCTCTAATTACGATAGAGAAGTGCAATTTTTTTGTGTGCTCGCACAGTTAGTATTACCTGGAAACTTCTTAATCGTTTGCAATAACTGTACCTTGGACTGACTTCCAAGTCCTCCTTCAGCGAGTCTACGACGGCAAGCCCTTACTCCTTTTCCAAACTCTCAAAGTTTTCCAAGTCCTCCCTCGGCGAGTCTACAACGGCAATCACTTACTCCTTTTTTTTCAAACACTCAAAGTTTGCCAAAGTCTTCTTTGACCGCTGAGCACACAGGAGCTATTTGCCCCTGACTACAAGCCTCCACAAATTTTAGCCAACTAATCTACAACCTTTCTTCATCCCACTCCTTCAAGCTTCAACTAGCTATGGATGGCTGCCAAAACAAACTTACACTTTAGTTACTTCCCTATAAAGAAGAGAGCCCTGATCCTCCCTAGGCAAAATCACAAACTCTTCACAACCATGCACCTCCTCCTCCTGGCCATCACGGCCTTCCTCGTCCCTTTAGTCCTTGCCATGTCCATCCAGCCTCTCACCGACGACATGGCCAGGCCCAGCCACCTCATGGCGATTAGGAACACCGGCCCCTTTAGCGCCGAGCACGTCAGGCTGCTGAATGAGATAAAACAAGATGTTATGAAATTCGTCCTCATCAACATGCAAAATAATCCTGTACGACCAGGTCGTACGTGCGACCCGGCCGCAAGGGGAGGCTGTCAGGTGGGCCACCCCCACGACGAGCTCTCTCACAAACGGGTCGTACAGGATTCGCGTCCTCATTAACATCGCCCTCCTGCTCGTCACGCTGACGCTCGGTTTCGCCAAGCAGGCCCTCACATTCTTCTTGCGTTCCATGGGCTACTTCGGTGATCGCTACTCACTCGCCGATGTCATCCGCAAGGTGATCAAGGGAAGCAGTCCGAAGGGCCCTTCGATCGCCATCGCCGGTGCCGACGCACTTGGGTTCACATGCATGGCGCTTCTGGGTTCCATGCTTTTTTACATGACGTGCCGCCGCTCAGGGGTGTTCTCTGTCGAGGGTCTCATCTTCCTCCTCACACTCGTCGTCTACCTTTATCTAAATAGTTAGCACTATTGAGTTTATTATCTATAAATAAGATATGACTGTGATCATAGCAACATCAAGTATGGAGTATTGGACGTAAACTCTTGACATTGCTAAACAGTAGCAAACATATGTATCTCACAAGTATGTAGTAGCTTGATTCATGTTGATGTACTCACTGTTAGAGAAAGATACCACAATTACAATTGGGAAGTACATGTGAGCGGTTCCTTGGTGTCATTCATGTTGTCAATACAACTTCAGTACCACTTAAGAGTATCTCTAACAGATTCATTATAATTTAGAGGAGCAAACACCCTTCTATCCTTTAGAGGAGTATATTTGCTCCTCTAAAAAAGTGTGGTTTCTAACCGAACCGGAACCGCTAAACTGAACCCCCGATAGTTTATATTTGGCTCATGCATTTCGTCGAACACTTGCAGCACACACAACAAACTGTCAGCGAACCGGGCGAGCGCCAAGACCCAACTCAACCCTCAGGCCGGCCCAGAAGACAGCCTCGCCCACCGGCTTGACTTGCCGGCCCAGAATGGGCCCGTTAAAGAGTTGTACTTATATCTGTAACGATAAGATTCGAGTGGCGGCTGGCAAATGGCTAGGTAGTGTGTGCGTGATATCTTGTAAGCGGGGTCTCCTTCCTCCGCCTCTCCGAATATTCTCCTGTAGTTCAAATTCGCCATGAATTGAAGATGAAACCTTGAGATGCCTTAACAATCTGGTATCAGAGCCGCCTCTCCCCCACCCCACCCTGCTGCTCTGGAGCTTCCCGGCCATCACCACCGCACGCGACTCGCTAACCGGCGGCGAGCAGAAGCCATGGAGAAAATTTCCCCCGAGATGAAGGCCATCTACAAGCTCCTCCGCGCCGACTTCGACGCCGCCCTGTCCAAGTCCACGGCGGAGCGCAGCGAGGAGATGACGGCGGCCTTCGCCAAGCTGGACTCCAAGCTGGACCAACTCTCCGGCCGCATCGACGACGTCAAGCTCGCCATAGGCGTCGATCTGGACGAGCTTCGCAGCGAGATTGGGACAGATAGAGGCGCCGCGTCGTTTCCTCCCGCACCGCACTCTCCGCGCGCCACGGCGGTGCCGACGCGCACTCGGCCCCCGAGCAGCGGCTCCAGTGGTTCTTATGGGTGTCGCTCTGAAGCTGAACAGAGGAATTCAGGTCCAAAATATGTGCCCCCACCTGTTCGAGGTATATCTACAGATCCATCTCATTTGCGTCAGATTATTGGAATTGGTGAAGGATTCAGACCGTACCAGCTAGATGGCATGAGTTTTGGTCCATGAATTGAATTGCCTCGATTCGATGGGTCTAATCCAAAGCTGTGGCAGTCTCGATGCGAAGATTACTTCAGGTTTTGGAATACACCATCGAACCAGTAGATTCCTTTTGCGTCGGCTTTGTTTGAGGGTACTGCGGCACGTTGGCTTGAATCAGTGCAACGCCGCGCCCCTAATGTTTCCTGGACTGAATTCTGTGAATTATTGCAATCCCGTTTTGGTCGCAACAAACATCAGAATATTCTGCGGCAGTTGTTCCATGTGCGTCAGACCAGCACCGTGGAAGAATATGTTGAGCGTTTTTCAGAATTGTACGGTCAACTGACTGCGTACGAAACAGATCCTAACCCGGTGCATTATGTGACAAGGTTCATGGAAGGATTAACACCATCAGTCAGACTTATTGTGGGGATACAGCAGCCAGCTGATTTGGACTCGGCTTATGCTTTAGCACTGCTATCTGAGGAGTTGAGTGAAGGTTCAGTTGGAGCAGTTTCAAGTAAACATAGCATATCTTCTTCTAGTAGAACTTCTGTCAGTAAACCAGTGGAGGACAAACGTTCTACTGACACTCCGCGTTCAACTGCTACTGAAGACCGCTGGTCTGCCCTCCGTGCTTATAGGAAATCCAAGGGATTGTGCTTCATATGTGGTGAGCGCTGGGCTCGAGACCATCGTTGCAAACAAGAGGTACAACTGCACGTGGTACAAGAAATGCTGGACTATGTTCAGAGCATGCCGTCAGAACAAAGTGATTCAGAGGATTCTGTTTCAACTGAAGCCAATGCGATCAGTATATCAGCTGCAGCAATGGGAGATGTTACAGCCCCAGCTACAACTACCATGAAATTAAAAATTCAACTGCAAGGGCGATCCTTGGTTTTCTTAGTAGACTCAGGCAGTACCCATACCTTCTTGGATACTGCTACTGCAGTCACTCTTAAGGGGATCACTGAGATGCCTGTGACCATGGTCAAAGTAGCCAATGGCAGTGTGATTCCCTGCAACAAGCAACTGCTGAAGGGACTTTGGTCTTGTGCTGGACATGAATTTACCAGCACTTTCAAGGTATTTCCACTGGGATCTTATGATGGAATTTTGGGTTTGGACTGATTGGCTGCACACAGCCCCATGCAAGTGGACTGGGCAGCTCATTGGCTAGCATTTCACCTGGAGGACAAACTGATTACATTGATTGGTCAGGATGCAGCTCCCCAAATTTTTGCTATGGTGGAATTGTCTGCTTTGCTGGCAACTGAAAATCCTTCTTTACATAAACGATCATGTGGCCTCGTGTTGCGGAACCGACCGGCGGCAGGGTGACCGCGGTGGTGCCGGGACCAGTTGCCAATGTTCCCGTTTACATAAACGACGAGCTTCTTCGGCAACACTAGCGACTAGATATTACCACCTCGCTATCATCCAAGAACAGATCTCCGATGGCCGTGTTGTCCTCTGCAAGTGCAAGCAGGAAATGGAACACATTCCGGCACGTGTGTGACATCGTCTGGACACGATGAAGTGGAGCTCCTCCGTATCTGCGTTCGATCACTTCCCGAGGGGAGGAGGGCCGCCAGGCTAGGGACGAAGAGGACGAGCACCGCCATGGCCAGAGGCGATGAAATGATGAAATAGATAATGAAAAAAGGCGGCTGCTACAAATCAGTCGGATGATTATCTAGAAAAATCATCCGCCTAAATAGCCGTACGATGCGCTGATGGCCGTTCAATCTCAACAAGGCAGCTTGATTCTTCCCTCCTCTGTTCTCGTTCAGTTTAACACCCACGCATCTCCTCTCAAGACAACGATGTCTCCGCTGCGGCAAGGAGGCCCTGCTGCTGCATGTACGCTGGCCAAGACGCGAGCCAGAGCAACTCCTTGAACTCCGGCGAACGCCGCCGACGTGCTGCGTTGCAACACCATCAATGCTGCGGGTGGACGGATCCACCGGCGACTGCTGCATCGCAGCACCGGAAGCCACCGGGGGCTGCTCCATGGCAACACCGAGTGCAACGCCTCCGGCGAAGCTTCATTGCAGCTCCGACGGAACCTTCAATGCAGCTCTGACAAAGCTTCACTTCAGCCCGGCGGAGTCCGTTCCATCCCCATCGCAACTTCAACGACCCGGCGGCGCTCCAATGCAGCCCGAGCGAAGCTGCATAGCAACACCCACAACCCCGGCGACGCCGCATCGCAGCCCCGGCGGCCCCGTCGACGCTGCATAGAAACACCGGCTACCCCGGCGATGCGCCATAGCAACACCTGCGAGGCGGCGACCCCCGCGATGCTGCACCGGCGGCCACGACGACTCAACACCGACGAGCCCCTCGCCGCAGCACCCGCAGCCCGCTTGAAGCACATGCAGCGTAGATCGGCGGCACGCAACTTTTCCCCGCCGACGGCAGCATCGCCCGTCATGCTTTGCCTTGCAGGAGCGGTTGGTGCTTGCGGCAAGATGTGCACGCCATGGTTGGAAGCAACGATGGTGAGCCATTGTATTGTATCGAGCCCCACTCATCCCTGTCACAGCCTGTGAAAAAATGAGAGAGAGAGAGAGGGGATGGGGGACGAACGAAGAAGACGAGAAAGGAAGAGGATAAGGTTGGGATGGAAAGCGGTGAGCCGGGCCCGCATGCTACGCGTGTAGTGGATAGGCGACGCACGCGCGTGAGACGAGCGCCACACGATCGGCTTTGATCGCACGGCTAGCGACATGGTTTACGCGAGGCAAACATCAGTCGGTTTAAAACAAACGATTTCCATGAAAAAAAGATCACTAGGATCTCGCCTGAATTGGACGGCGGGAGGCCCGCGGGGCTGCAGGGTGTCGATAATGGTGTGTGGTAGCCGGTTGAGGCAAGGAGGACAACGCCAAAGTGGATGCGTCCGAGTGGGGGAGAGCGGTGGGGGAGAATGGAGGCATTTTTTACTCCAAGCATGGGCTGTGAGTATATTTTAGGGTCACGAAGGCCACTGAGGATAAATTATCCTCCATAACCCGTTATAAGTGATCTGTTAGGTGCACATTAGAGAAGAAAACGTGAATTTATTCTTCAGTAACCGATTATAAGGGATCTTAGAGATGCTCTAAGGCTCCAATTACTGTTTGACTCTTACTCAAATCCACGGACAAGGATAAATGGGGATTGTAAGAAGAAAGGAGAGATTAACATACTGAAAAATCATTGATCATCAAACAATCTCCTTCTGCTTATTACGTCCATAGCTTTGCACATCAACTTCAATTGATACGTATTGCCCTACTCTAGACCTATTGTTACCTGGTGGTGTTCTAATTATAGAACTACTGTTCACATTATCACTTTATTAGCGTGTATCAACAATGCTTTGAGTACTCATAAGTATGAGAAATAATACGTTACACCTCACGCGAGTAGAAAAAAGTAGTGTGTGATGCTTCTTATTCTTATGTACACAAATCTTGTTGAAGATCAAACTGGTTTAATCCAATACAGACAAATGATGGTCATTTTAGAGGGAAAATATATCTTGATGTTATTAGATTATCCAACATCTTAACAATAGATTAAATGAGTTCAATACGGAGTTTCTTATTTACATGTTAACTTTGAGTCCCTTTGATTCATTTGCTTCTTGTGATGCATAGATGGTAATGAATGAGAATTGCCGAATTAAATCTCAAGAACATGTCAAGTACTAATTTGGTATGATTTGAATTTCAACTTGCCAACTC